CAAATTTCCACCTTGAATGATGCATCAGGCAGCTTCTTGTTCGAATTTTCCTGTTCCACCTTAAATGGTGCATCAGCCCGCTGCTTGTTTGAATTGTCCCGTTCCACCTTAAATGGTGCGGCTTCAGGCAACAGAAATTTAAGGTGAAACGGGAAAGCTAGAAGAAGCTGGTGAACAGGAATCCATTCAGCTTCGGCCTTCTTACTGTGTTTTGGGGGGGTTATTTTATTTTTATGTGTATTAAGATCAGAAGTGATTCACACATTGAAGAATTTGCTGATGTTTCTACCGGATCTCGCGCTAATCTTGATTTTTTAACGTCAGGTGCAGACTGAATGCTTTTCTGCTGGTCCAGACGGCTAATTAGCACGATCAGTTATTAAATAAATAAAAGCTACCGTGAGCAGTCCGTGCAGCCTAGATTAATCTATTTTACAAAATACATATTTTAGATGAAAAATAAAATTGTACCATAAAAGTGAGACTGATTAAACATCCAATGAAATCTACAGACTGTAGTGAGATAGTTGATTTAACACACACAATGTATATTATACAAATATTATTTTTAATATGTGACGTCACTACAGACTGCTGACTGATTCTAATTAGTTTTCCCTCAGCTCATGTTCCTTATTCATTTATGAAGTTTCATAACACAAAACTATTGTCTTATATTTACTATTTCTTAATGATTTATTTAATATGTTCCTTCATGATCTGTTCCTGATTGACAATATATTAGTTAGTAATAGTTACTATATCAGTTAATCTTTTAGTTTATATATCAGTTATATATCTTAGTTATTATATTATACTTAATCTGTCTGTTCATTCTGTAAATGTACAACCCCAATTCCAAAAAGGTTGTGATGCTGTGCAAAATATAAATAAATGTAAATAAAAACAGAATGCAATGATTTGCAAATCTCATAGACCCATATTTTATTCACAATAGAACATAGAACACACATCAGATGTTGAAAGTGCAACATTTTACTATTTCTTGAAAAACATTAACTCAATTTGCAACTAACTCACATGATGGGGCATAAAAAGAGCATTTTAGAGAGGCAGAGTCTCTCAGAAGCATTTTTTTATTGAGGTATTGAAGAAGAACGCATTATTCATTACCGATAGTTACTTAATCAGTTCATGAGTTGTTGATGCATAATTACTAGTGTACTAAAGAACCTTATTGTAAAGTGTTACCAGTCATTTCTATAAGGGTTGAGTCTCTGCTGTAGGTTTACACTTTAACTGTTTAGCTGAACATCTTCATGGAGTTGTATTGAAAGCACTGAGTGACAGTCCAGTAGTGAGGGATGAAAAACAACAGTACAGATGAGAAAAGGAGATTTCTAAAAAGGAGATAAGAGTTAAAAAAGACTGAAGTATTCTAATCATAGAAATGTCTCTCATAGAGATTTGTCTAACTTTGTGTTTCCTTCTGTTTTTATTCCACAGTACAAAGGGTAAGTAAATAACTATGTTTACCTCTTTCTCTGCTGGTAGTGACTGATTTTTATACTCTTATCACATGAACTACATTCAGTACAGACATCAAGCAGTAACATAATATTGAGTTTCAGGTAAATTTCACATGATGAACAAAGACTCTGATCTCATAATGAAAGCTTTTGACTTCATCTCCCTCCTTTTCAATGCTTCTCTGCATAATCCCACTGCAAGGAGCAGCAAATAATGAAGAGTCAGCAGCTCTGAAAGTCTTAATTACTGAGATCTTCTCATCTCCTTCACTTCCATTCACTTAATTTAAGAATAATTAGCTTCTCTTATTCAGTCTGCAGATATCCCTCAGCATTTCTAGATAAAGAGGAAAGAGTTAAAACTGATCTTAAAGACGCAGGAGGGGAGATTTCAGAGAAGTTATTTTTAGTTTTTGAGAGCAGATTTCCCTCCATCACTCAGTGGACTAGCTGATACAAACAAACAAACAAACAAATAAATAAATAAATGCTATCTTAAGTATATAATTCAAATGAGCAGAGATGGATTCCATAGCATTTTGAGTCAGAACAGAGAGACAAACTTCCGCCCTCATTGCTGTTTTCTGATCAAGTGTTTAAATCATTAAAATGGCCTTTGTTTTACAAAAGTTAGTTTATTTACAATATGACACTCAAATATCAGCCAGTCTGAACAAATCTGATTATGAAATAACAGAATCTCAGGTGTAATAATGAACTTTCACTTTGTGTACATACACACTGTCTTGGCTCTGACAGTGTTCACTGCTGCTAGGACTAAGATAACAGCTTACACTGTTGATTAACACATCTACAGTGGTCATTTCTGCAATAGTCAAGAACTGCACATTTGTCTTTAGTCTTGTTGTCTGTGATTCTTCCTATTGTATAATGTAGGCTATAGTTTATTGTTGTGTCTATATATAGTATTTATTGAGTTCTTTACTGTTAGCTTCCTATTTTGTGCTATTCTGTGCTTAAATTTAGCACTGTATTCCAGAGGAACTGCAATACATTCCTTTATTGACAAACCTGCAACAGTATGACAAAGTTTGACCTGACCTGACTTGACTTGATTTGAAGTGTGTGAGTGTGTGTGTGTGTGTGTGTGTGTGTGTGTGTGTGTGTGTGCCTGTATGTCTGTTTTGGCCTTGGTCTCATAGATTTTTTAATATGTGCATAAATTATTGTCAAAGAATAATAATGAACCGGTAAATAGCGACTTTACTGTTTGCTGTATTTATTTTGGTTTATGTGCTGAACACATTGATTGTTAATAAAGTTGAATTGCCCTTTACGTTAGTGATGTATACTGGCATTATTTGACACTGACTGAGAAGTTTTATCAATTCTTTTTTGTTCCTTAGAGGGAAGTCACAAACAGTTAAGCTGTAGGGAACATGTATAATATTTGACTGCTGAACTGTTTCTATGTTGTTCCCTGTCACCCACAAATTTCCTTATACTTTCTTATGCTTGAAGAACCAAAATTTGTTCTACTATTGAGAGAACAATAAGCCTAGTTGAATTGATTTCTATAGTTTGTCAATCATGTAGTTAAAGAATGCCTTAAAAAAAAAAAACATTTTAGACCCATCGCGTGACAGTCCATGGGGCAGAGAGACACAGGGACAGAAAGGAGGTTGTTGATGTTTTAATATTGCACTCTGATCTGACTATCTCAATCATGTAAAGATAACGCATTGGCCATTTAAATGTGTAAGCACTCACTGCTTCTCCTTCTGATTGGTCAGGGGCTCGACAGACACAAAGAGGGAGGAAAGAACGAAATATGGAATCAGGAACCCTGAAAATGCCGTTCAGATCCATAAAGGCATTTTAATATGGAAAGCAGTCAGATATTAAATAGCTGATTAAGTGAGTCACCACACTACTGGACTGACTGGAGTTTCCTAATTGATGGTGAAATGATGGTCAACATCACTGGAATGAGCTTCGTGACCTAAATATGATGATCAGTAATCCCTGCAGACACAGACCAGAGGAGATGATGGACCGTGTCTCACACACACATGAAGTATAACTTTATTCCAATGATCTTTCTGATAGGAACAGATCCTAGATCAGCACACCTACTCTAAAAAGTTTCATGAATACAGTGTGTATTCATGGACACACAGTGGACACAAATAGCACTGACTGTTCAAGAGCTGTCATCACCACCTGGCACTTTCCGTGAGTAAAGAGTTTCTTTTCTTTTTCACTGGTGTTTTTTTGATAAAGTATTCATCAAACTAAATGTTTAATCTTCAGAAAATGTTATTTTCCCACCTCAGGCTGTCAAATCAGAGACACAAGCTGTTTTTCTGAAATGTTCAGTGTTTTTTTTTTTTGCAACCCTTTTATCAATTTTTAGGGAGATGTATAAATGCCATGTAAAAGTCTGTGTTAATTGAATTCATTACTTTCTAGCACAAAATACAGATATTAATCAAATGTTTTTAGAACTTTTCAAATAAATAATAAAAATTCAGAGTTTTCTTATATTTTTTACATATTTTACTTTTTTTTCTTTCTAAACAAAAATTGCGCAATTTTCTTTTATTAGTGATTTGAACTAGCGACTCTCCAAACTGACACTTTTGGTAAAATAACCTGCTAAATGAAATGTTTTAAGGCTATTTTTATCAAAAAAATACTGGATAACAAGGTTGAGTCCTGAGTAACAGAGCTGAAGTGAGCAACAGGGTTAAATCAGAACTGAATTAGATCATATTAACCACTTAGGTGATATTCATGCAGTAAAAACATGTAAGGTGTGATCTTGACCCTGTTCCTACTTCATTGCTTAAGATGGTTTTTGACTGTGTTCACAATGATGTTTTAACTATTGTAAATTGTTCTGTGTCAACAGATGCTTTTCCAGACACTTTTAAAACTGCCTTGGTGAAGCCTCTTCTAAAAACAGTAGCATGGATCCTTCCATACTAAATAATTGTAGACCAATTTCAAACCTGCCTTTTTTTTTTAGCAAAGTCTAAGAACAAGTTGTTTTCAAACAATTAAATGTGCATCTGATATCGAGAAGTTTCAGTCAGGTTTTCATTATAACTGCACTGGCTACCTGTATCATTCAGGATAGATTTTAAAGTTCTAATACTAGTTTTTAAGGCTCTAAATGACCTTAGAGCACCCCTTATGTGACACAGTGTCTGTTTATGTTCCAGCATATTATCTTAGCTCTGCAGATGTGGACCTTCTGCAAATGCCTTCTGCAAAATACAGAAAACGTGGAGACTCTTTCTGTTATTCTGCTTCTAAACTGTGGAGCTCACCTTTTATTAGACAGTCAGGCTCAGTGCTCACTTTTAAGAAGCATCTTAAAATGTATCTCTTTAACTTGGCATTTAATTAAAACTCTACAAGGTATTTATCTTTTAATTTGATCTTTGTCATTTTCTTATGATTCTAAATTAATACTGTTAGGCTTTATCACCTGTCACTTTGAGCTGCCACCAACATGAAAAGTGCTATATAAATAAAAATTATTATTATTATTAATAATAAGGTGCTTTTAGGAAATTGGGCCATGATCAATATCCATACACTCTTAAAAATGGGTTCATCAAAGGTTCTTTAGTGAAAGACAGTGGTTCTGTAGAGAACCATGAGCACTCAAAGAATCCTTTGCATAGTTCAAGGTTTCTTTGTATGGTGACATAGTTCTTCAGATTGATGGAGAATGTGCTGTAGATGCTTCTATATAGAACCTTTTTGAAAAGGTTTATTTATAGCATGCAAAAAGGGTTCTTTTATCGTTATATATATACATACATACATACATCATCTAAACCGTTTATCCTTCTGGGTCGCGGTGGGGTGCTGGAGCCTATCCCAGCTGTCATTGGGCGGAAGGCAGGATACACCCTGGACAGGTCGCCAGTCCATCGCAGGGCAGTTATATATATATATTTTAGTTATTTATTTGGTATACATGCCATGTGCTGAAATGAAAGCACATAAAAATGATTTTTGATTGATTGACATTGACATTTTTTTGATTGATTTTGATTGAATAACATCAAAGTATGGAGCTGTTCTTTTGTTTTATTGCGTCTGCAAGACAGACAGAGAGACAGACAGACAGACAAAGACAGACAGATAGATAACCTTTTTTTCCTCAAATGAATCATAAATTTAAAGGTTTAATTAAGATTTCAGGAGTCATGTTTGTTTATTACAAGTTTATTTTACGAAGGGCAGGTCAAAGTGCTTTACATAAATAAAAGCAAAATAAAAACAGTACAATAAAATAAGGGGGAAATAAAAAAATAAAAGGAATTAGGAATTTTTTGGCCAAACCTGTTTCTGCTTTGTGCTGAATACATTCTATTTAAAGAAAGAGTTTTAGGACTGGAGTGGGATCAATTTCAGACTGTAAACTTAGGTGGTTCAGGTCACATTGAGCTTGGACAGAAGGTTTTTAGCCAAAATTCAGATTTGGACTAAAATTTCAGGTTTGATTTGGATCCGTTAGTATACCCAGGTTTCTGACTTGGTCTTTAGTCATTGGAGCTCTGAAGTGCTCACTGACTTTCAGTCTTTCCTCCTCATTGCCAAGTAATATTACTTCTGTCTTTATTTACCTGGAGGACATGTTGACAGATCATTTAATTCAATTCAAGATTTATTTCTAGAGCACTTTTTATGAGCGTCACAAAGCAGCTTCAGAGAAAATCCAGGTCTGATCCCCAAATGAGCAAGCCGAGGGCGACAGTGGCAAGGAAAAACTCCCTAACGGCAAAAGGAAGAAACCTTGGGAGGAACCAAGACTCAAAAGGGGAACCCATCCTCCTTTGGTTGACTCCGGATTTGCGCTGAGCACTGACACACAGTATCTGTGGGACCAAGGTCATTTGGTGAGAGTGTGAAGTAAACCTGGGTGTCGTCAGGATGACTGTGATAAGTGATTTTGTTTTCTGGCAGGATTCAGTCTAATGGGAGCATGAAGAGAGGTGAAGATGATGATGATGATGATGGGGTAGATAAAGAAACTTAAAGAGGGATGAGGCAGTTCATTTCCTAAAGCAGGAGAACATCCTGGTGAAAATGGAAGGTCTCCAAGGCTTCTCCCTTTTTGAAGTCTCACCGTTGGCTCCACCTGCTGAGAGAAAATCTCATTCAGTATTTGCCTACTTTTAAAATTATATTGCCATTCATTTCAACCTTTTGCACATTATTAAATCTAAACTACATATAAACTTGATTAACAACGCAAACTTACTCATATCAGCAGTGCAACGACTCTGAAAACAGTCCTGATCTGAAGTATAAGATCTGGCATTATTGTCCTTTTTGGATCTCTGTAATGTGAGACATTGATCATATTATCAACCTCGTAATCATTTAAGTCTTACCACAATTCAAAGTGTTAATGCTAATAATGCATATAATATTATGCTACTAATATAATGTAATTAATATTACTGGAATAAAATAGCACAGTAAAACTACTTAAAAATTATTCTTTACCTTTTTGAAGATGTTGATTTTTGGCAAATTGAGATGGAAGAATAGGCTCTTGCGCTGCTTTCGTTTACGTTCTTTGTCCCCTCTGTTTCAGGCACTGCAGTTGATGAAGATGCTCCTGACTGTGCCAGGGTTGCCAGGCTGGCATGAACCTTTCTGTCTGACTTAATCAAGCCTCTGCTTGAGGCCTGGCTTGCTAACAATGCATTGTCAACAATCTGGCTGGAGACCAAAGATTCCTCTGTGATAGAGGGAGAGGAACCAGATTGAACTGACACAGAACAGTACAAGTCCTTAGCGTCTGCCTTCTTAATTGCCCTGATGATGGAGACTGCCAGAGATCCTGTCAACAGCTGACTCTGAGCTTTTACAGCTTCAATCAGCTTACTTTCAGAACCAATTCTCCGAAGAAGCTCTGCATATGCAGCATCAGCGATCGAGTGGTGAAGCTCTTTGAGAGCATGTTCTCCATCGCCTACTGTGACACCAGTGAAAGGGGCCAGAATTTCCTTGACAGCCTCTGTAACATTCTGGACCTGCTCATCAGCAATTAAGAGAGAAGATCCATGGACTCCAGTGAATGACATCTCCTGGACTTTGTGTAGTATTGCACGTATGCAACAATGGAGGGCAGCCACGGAAATGGTTGGAGGAGATGTGCTGAGTTTTTTGAGCTGCGTGAGTCATTTCATCGAAACCCTCTTTCTGCTCTTGGGTTGCTCTTGTTCATCTGTCATCCTCACTGATGGTCTTTCAGGGTGTGATTCCTTACTTTTACCCTTAGATGACTCAGAAGAAGTTGGGGTCCCAGGAAGTGAAGAAATGTGCTCAGGTGACATGACAGGACAAGATATGTCTGGATCTAAATGATGTTTGTCCATGACTATATTGTCCAACGTGGACCTAACTAGATCAAATATCGGCTGTGGTTCCTCTGAAATGTGATGACCTTTTGATAAAGCACGTTGGTCTGTAATCACCTGAAGTAACTTGTCAATAGTTTTCCTCACATCGATCTTTGAAGGGTCAACTTTAGCTGCTTTCTGCCGATATGCTGCAGAAAAATCCCTGAGCTCACTCATCGCACTGCTGTAAATAGTATACACAGTGGACCACAGATTCTCCTCAGAGACATCACAACCTGATTCCGTCTCATTCAAAGGTTCAGACTGTGTCTCCTTCAAACCACTGGATGATGTACTAGAATGCAAACGTGCAAATTCCATCAATGACAGAATCGACGATTGCGAATGCCTTTGTTGAGCATTCAGATGGAGTTGGTTTCACACTGGAATCTGTCTGGCTGGTGTGAGCACTTAGTGAATGGAGAGAAATAGCAAGGAAGCTCTCTGAACACTTCACTAAGGTTTGACTCACTTCCTGAGCTGCCTTGTTTCGAGTGTCCCCACTCCGGATTTTCTCGAAGCTCTTAGCAGAGGAGCTTTGAAGGAAAGACGGTACCTGAAAATCCAGAGGAACGGCAGGTATGCTGTCTCCAAAAGGTGAAGCTGAGACCTCTTGAATGTGAGCCATTATGTGGTCTACAAGCAACTCAGCTGTGCAAGATAAATCAGGGGTGCGTCGTCTAAATGTCGCCTGGTCATCTTCAGACACCTCTGACTTTGTAAACGACTCCAGCTGGAGTAAAAGCTTGTCCACAAAGATTTTGGTACATAAGGATGCATTTCTCAGAGTTTGTGTAGGAATGGAAGTTTCAGCTTGGGTCTCCATAGACCCATTGAAAGCCATACTTGACAATTTCATAAGGCTGGGAATTCTAGGAACGTTACAGGCTGGATCAGAGCTGATATCATCACTGATCCATGAACTCTGACAATCAACAAACTCCCTGATTGTGATGCACATATTGCGAGGGTAAGCTTTGGAACGATGATTTTGTGTGATACGGTGGTCACAATCTTTACGATGTGCATGATCATTTCAGTGATTTCGTCCCTTGTGAACTGCAAGCAGAGATCATAATGACAGCTCTTAGTATTGTTTTATAGGGGTAATGTGCTTTCATTTTGACTACAAATTAAATGGTTTTGAATAAAAACACTCACCATTTGACGCATTCCATCCTGCATCCTCCATCCTGTAATTGCCTGAAAGATTTTAAAAAATGCAGAAAAAGCAATTTTAGTCAATACATTCATCAGTAATGAGCCCTGCACATTGAACCACCTTTCTAAGAGAAACATCTTGTCTGTTAGCTCTTTAAATCGCATTTTATTGGCTACCAGCTACTACAGAATCAGGAACAACCAATCGGGATTATGCATTGTTACCACAATATTACGGATAGTAAGAATCCGAATTAAAACCCTATAGAGAGTATTTGGTCTCACATTAAAACTAGCTCTGCAATATTTTTAAGCTGTTACAAGCTGTCAATACTGAGTGGATCAACACTGACTTTTCTTTCTGTAAAAGACTGTCTGCAAATTTACACACAAAACTTCAACATTTAAAGAAATCAAAGTGAAAAGCTCCCCATGCTAACTTACTGCATCTATTTCTTTAAGATTAAAAGCTTAACAAATTGCCATTTTGGGCTTGGCCAATTTCTTTGCCCAGGTGTGTAGATATTGTATTTCTTATGCATAGTAATGTTATTGATAGGTATATTTGATATTTGTATACTTGTACATATATTTGTATATTGTGTATACATGATAGTGTATATGTAGAGTAAACTGAATTGAATTGAATTAAAATCCTGGCTGGACCACTCAGTCCTGCGTACATACCGATCAGCCAGGCTCTGCAGGAAATGGGAGATGTCCAGAGACAAAGCCGAGTCATCAGGCTCCAAGAGAGAACCCCTGCTGCCGTGTTAGGAAGTGCTTCCTCCGCCATGTTAGACTCTCCTGAGATTTTAAAACATAAAAAACAAGAAATCAGGGAAAGAAATACAGGTAAACCTACCAGATTACACCATTACACATAGTTACCAACTTTATCCCACAGCAGCCTTTGTTTTGATAAGACACAAACTTTAATGTATTTTTGTCCTGCTGACAAAGTAGCATTCTCCACAAGGGGGCGCTATTAGCAATTAGTGTGTTATACCAGTTTAGCAATCACATCATTTTGAATGCATTACTGTCTAAAAAATCAAGCATAATTAAAACAAACAAACAAATAAATTATCAACATTACAGCAGAAATCCTGTTTGCACAACAGACAATGTAGTATTCTCCACAAGCGGTCGCTATTAGCACAATAGTTTTTATGTGCATCATTGAAAGGGGGGGAACCAACAACTCAAGTTTGAGATTTTAAAACAAAAGTTTAAATCTGTGGATAGTATTTTGGAAGATGCATTACTTACTTGTTTTGCATTGTACTTACTCAGTTACAAAGTTTTTTACTCCTCCCATTTTTATTTAAACCTTCAAAGTACAAATCTGGTGGTAGCTTGTATAAAACCTTATTATTATTGTACTATACCATCTATATTCTGCTGCTTCTTCTATATTCTAGTTCTTTATTTCTATTATAATATTATAATTCTTTTTTTATACTGGTTCTTTATCTCTACTCTGGTTCTTCACATCACACTGAATGCTCTCTCTACCCGTTATGACGATCTTAGCAGGCCTGATTGGACGTAACGGTAATAAACAGTAGTATAAACAGCAGACAGGTAACTGCTTTTATGATACAGACAATGCCTCCTCCATTTTTACCATTCCCCTCTCCCTCTACTGTCTTTATACTAAGGCTTCTGCTAGCTGTGTAGGAGAACTTGCTCCAATAACGTCATTAAAGTCATCAAACCCCATGTAATCAATAAATCAAAGGAAAACGTGCCGGGTCAAAACCCCAGTAATTTAATACGTGGCTACGTCTGATCACGGTCACATGTTCATCTCCTGATTTCTCTATTTACAAAACCTCCCTCAAACAATTTTCTCTTTGCGAACCATTGCCAGTCGATTTTTTCACTGCCTGTGTTTGACCTCTTGCCTTTTACAGTTTTTGGGTCTCAGCTTTTGTACTTTTGCACTTTTGTACTTTTTGCAGGGAATGATTTGAAGAGGGATGCAAAGGGATGTGTCCCTCTGTTAAAAGAAAAGTACAAAAATCATCCCCCTTGTAAAACTGCCACCCTTTTTTGATAGTGTTTGGATTAATGTAATTAAGTGATATGATTAGATTGTACTGATCTAAAATCTTTATTATACATACTTTAATTCTGCCCACATTTGAGATTTACACACTAAATTGCCTTTTGAAGTATTTGAAGTACCCCCATTCCATTTACATCTCCCTTAAAAAAAAACAAAAACTGACCACTGATTAAACATATCTGTTAACAGGACAATACAGATATATTGCTATGCTGTTGATAAGTTATTTAAATTCTTTGCAAATATGATTTAAGACATAGAGCAAGAATAATCCTTGTATTTTTACTGATGAATAAAACATTGTATATACTTCATTCTTTTCCCAATTAATTGATTAATCAAGGTAATGATGGGTTGATTAAGCCATTATGGAAACAGTTGTCAGTTGTAACTCCACAATTACTATTACCGTCACTACGTCATTTGCCCTGTACTAGGCCAAGTTCAGTGTGGCTCATCCATACTAGTCTCAACTTAGGCCTTGAAGAAGCTTGACACTGACCTGCCTCTCCTCTCCTTGCACTTTACGCCAGAAGACATCCTGCACTTTCTTCTTCTCTATGCATTTATTGTGAGTGGTGTGCAAGGAGTCATCACATTACTGAGAGAGAGAGACAGAGAGAGAGAGAGAGAGAAAGAGAGAGAGATACATAGATAAAGACAGAAAAAGAGAGAAGTTGGAAATGTAGCTATTTCAGCTAGATTTGTTAAAGGATTTGATTGGGTTCATTCTGTTTTTCTCTCCAATATCTGATGCGGAATTCTCTGCTGACATCAACAAAATTCCGATACCTGGTATTGAATCAGTGCCATTTGTAAACTAGAAGTGTAGGCAGGCCACATGTGTTGACCGGCTTCAGTGGGACTTCCAGTACTTATCGTCATGGGCACAGGCAGTGGTCAGCACACAGGCAGGCAGACAAGAAAAATCCGTAATCTGATACCAGCAGGGGCTAAATCACAAAGAAAAACGAAGAACTGTAAACACTGAGAAAGATGAACACGAGAATGGCAAGATTTTGCGAAAGATGAGACCAAAACTAGAGGTATTTGTTGTCTCATAAATGAGTTGTTGATTCAGCTGCAGGTGTGTGGAATGTTGAGTAGAAGAAACAGGATGGTGCTGTTGCTGATGAGAGCCAATGCAGGATGAGAGGCTGGGATTCCGGCTGAGCAGGAGACTGGGAGGGTCTCAGAGCAGGAGACTGGAAATCTGGCTGGGCAGCTGTGAAAATTGGGGCTCATCATCATTTGACCTTCAGAAACCACATTCCATTCTGTACTGTGGGGCAAAACAGTCCAAATTCCTTATAAGGATTGGGATTCTGTCCGATGGCTTAAAAGGCTATGAAATGTGGCCAACAGAGGGGCTGCAATAATGGACCACTTCTATCCATGCATGGAAATATCGGATTAAAATGATCGCACCCTCTACCTGTATCTGAGGCTCTTAGATGGTTTCAGCGACGAGGATGGGATTCACCAGCAGTCGGTCGGAGGCTGGTCATTTTGTGTTCTGGATTAGACATACAAAGATCTGGTAAAGACTTATGTGTAATTAGATCATGGATCAAATAAGTAAACACATAGAGAGACAGTGGCAATTTTTTCATGGATTAGAATTTTAACAAGGCTGAATACTGCAGGTATTAAAGAATGGTTCTTATTCCTACTGGGATCCTGGTATTTATTGTCAATCCAGTGGTAAAAACCACACCGATATTCGAATATATATATTTTTTGAGTGTATATTCAAATTTCAATGTTTGAAGTTCATTTTGACAAACAAGAAGGAGGGGATATTGTAGAATTGGGGCATCATCACTTCTCTTGTACTGGAGCAAACGTTCAGCCACCATGCTCTATATGTCAGAATGATGTATATATTTGGTGTGTGCGTTTGCGGCTAAGACAGGGGATTCAGGAATTGTCCGCTTCTTCCCATGCATGAAAAAATGTAATTAAAATGATCAAACCTTCAACATATACCAGAGTTTCATCCAGAGGAGACTGGGAGACCATAAGAGGATGACACTGGGAGTGAGGCTGGTTGAGGAGACTGCGAGGCCTTGCCTTACTTCTTCGTCTTATTTTTTGCTTTTCCTTTTTCCACCGTCTCCTCTGCCTTTCCATCTTCGCTATTCTACTCTTTTCTCCTTTCTTCCACCTCTTTAGACCGGATCTGTCACACAATATTAACTTGCTTTCAGCATAGTATCTAACACAACAACACACCATACTAGCACAGGAGTTATTCAGAAGTGGTGAGCATGTGCACCACCATCCCACACACCTCAGTGCTCTGGTTCGTTTTACAGGGAGAGCTGATGCGAGTTCCTGTCTTCAAGATCAAACCCTCCAGTAACTGCACCCTATCCTCTCCTCTTTCACAGTCCTCCAAGGCTTTATGAAGCTGTGACAACCTGGAAAACACAAAAAAACACAAAGAGTTGTGGAGTGTTGGATTTTCTCAAATTTGTAATATTACCACATAACAAGGATTCTCATGAAAGTTCAATCAAAATTGGGAATGCTTAAACTGTTCATACCTATTATGTAGAGCTGCAACAACTAATCGACATCATTGATAACACTGATAATGAAAGACTGCAAGGAATCCAATTATCAATTAGTTAGATTAGACTGAAAGCGTGTCCACTTCTCATTTATATCACTTAAATCACAGAGGGAAAATATAGATGGTACAGACTACAGTACAAGGCTGTGCACGACAGGAAAAGAAAAATATCGCAACACCACTTTAAGGTCATCTAAAAAGAAGGTTTTCTATCTGATGATCTTACTCAGCATGGCAGAATGACTCACTGATTATGACGAAAGCCACCACCCCTTGTAAAAACTGCCATCCTTCTTTCTATTAATGTCGCACTAACATTATTATGTGATATCCAAGAAAATGTCTACTATACATACTTTAATTCCATCCATATTAGAGATTTACGTGCCAAGGTCCCTTGGATGTATGTGGACAACCCCCACTTCCACCAAGTGGTTAGAAATTGTATATAGAATATCATAGATGATGACCGAACTGTTTCTGTGTGGTTAGCGATATCAGATTTCATTATATAATGTTACCAACCACCCAGACCTATTTCATTTATTTTTGCTTTACCATTAGAGGATAAATCATTTAAACAGCAATGCAAGGTTCGTGTAAAATCAACCTGCCTCCAGAGTGATTGTACTGCCATTTAATATTTGTTTATGTGCTATTCCACTACCCTTTCTGCCATATTCACACTGAGCAAAGTTTTGGAGGCCAATGCAGATCTGTTGCTGTGCCCTTGATAAAGGTCTGTTTTTTTTTAAAATATGATTTAAACTATATGGTAAGAAATAATCCTTGTATTTTTAATAAGTAAAATATTGTTTATAATATTGTGAAATATTAATTTATTGGGAGTCTAATAACTGCATTTTTTTCTTTCAATGAGTGACTAACTAATGAAAGTCATAATGAGCTGATTAGTTTATAAAAACAGATGTTGCTGCAGCTCTACTTTTATGTGGTATGAATTACTGCACAGAATCACTATATAATTTGCCCTGGCCTAGACCAAGTTCATTGTGTGGCTTCTTCATGCTAGTCGCAGCTTAGGCCTTAATGAAGCTCGACACTGACCTGCCTCTCCTCTCCATGCAGTTCATTATGCCAGCAGATATCCTGCACTCTGTGTCTCTCTGTGCGTCTCGCTGCATCAGAGAGGACATTATGTTCACTGAGGATGGTCCGCAAGGGGTCGTCACATTACTGACAGAAAGAGAAATATGTCAATTTGTTGAAAATAACAGACAAACATTAAAGAAATGATGAATTAAAGTGTTACCATTATCTACTGATAGTGACAAATCTCTGAATGCTTTTTTAAGAAAATAAGACACACGAGGCCGAATGTAACAGTGATTTTGCAGTGAAAAACAGCAACAAAATACAATATAATAAAATAAATGTATGTCATTACTGTGAATAATAGTTGCTGTACAAAATTCTTCTGGTAAGCAATGTAGTTTGTTAACTGCAGGTTATAGATGCCAAACAAGATAATGGTTAAAGAATAATGACACAGAACTCAAGTGAAAGGTGTGGTCATATGTGTGGCTCATCCAATTGGATTTTAGAACTGAAAATTACTAAAATCTCTTTAGTAATTTATATAATATAAATACCTACAGAAATATTATTTTAGTCATTGTTTTAAAGAATGTCTATATGTCTCACTAGTGTGGATCTCTTCTGTCCTCAGGAGGTGGGCAGCGGAGAAAGAGGGACTCCTCCACCAGTTTCTCCATTGTCCTTCCAGGATGTTTCATCTGTAGTGAGAGAAAAACAATGCGCTCACCATCAAGATCTTCTTTTATTATAAGCAACAACATGGCCACCACACTTCTACAGATATCAGTACAATCTGCATCTGTTCTGAACACCAACCTGGTGAGAGTATCCATAGCCAAAGGACCCATATGTAAAGGTCAGGTCTGCATCCAACTTGCACACTTTCTGAAAATATAAGAAATCAATCTTACATCTCTTTTTCTTCCACATAAACAGAAAAAAGAATGTAATATTTCAAAGTAAGCATGACTTACTTTGCCTCCAAGCCTCAAATCAATCTGCTGGCTAACTGATGATTTCTGCTGGTAAAAAAGAAGCATTATGTTAGTCATTATTGGTAATCAGAGACACTGAGTGGCTTAAAAGAAAACGTTCTACAGATGTGTGAATGAGGGCGTGTCTCACATAAAGGACTTCCTGCAGCTTGATGGTGGTGCTGCCCATGAGTTTGGGGACAGCTGAATCTCCATCAAAAGAGATCAGATCCACCTTTACTGAACTGGACTCCTGGACCCCTAGAGCCTCTTCTTTTTGGATCTGCAAACACAGTCAGGAAAGGCCAGAAGGATTACAATTATTTTGGAAAAGCAGTTCTTCTCATCTGTGCAGTTTCTAATCATCTGAGCAGCTACTCACTCAGTTTGGATGATAATGCAAATTGAAACAAGCAATTATCTTTTGCACAATTATTGTGGTAAGTAATATTATTGTGCAAAATTAAAATAAGAAGTACAATGTGAGCATTGCAGTGCTTTACCCTATAGCTTGCATTTTGTGAATAGCTTCTTCTTCTCTGGCTACAAGTTTGGTTTAGAACCATGGTGTATTGTCTTTATTTGTTGTTGCTGCTAGCTGTGTAGCCTTTAAATTACTAACTAGTAAGATAGAAGAGTAAAGTAATGAAGTTGCATCAGCAGTGCTGTATAACAGATGGAGTAGTTTGCTCATAAAATGTTAGGATTTTAAAATATTAAGCATTTCAAAGTATCTTGAAGCTAATTTTGTTTTTATATTTCCAGGTTTGAAAAGGCAGTTGCTTCAGATTGCACTGATTTGTGACTTCTGCCGCTGAAGTGAGCACCTAAATTCACTCAATCCCTCACCCCTTCGAGCACTCATCCAGTAAAATTAGTTTGTGTAAATACAGTAATGATACGGCCCTTAAGATGGCATCGAGAATGATTAACATCATTTGAGTGATTTAATGACCAGAGTATCTTTAATTTTAACTTTACTTATTTATCTGTTGTACACAAGAAGAAGACACTGCTAAGTAATAGTAACCTGTATGGAGAAGTGTTTCACTTCATTGAAAGTTAGGTTGTCTTTGAAGGGCTGCGGCCTGGAGCACTTCACGATTCTCCCAACAGTGATCCTCACCATACACTGAGTGTCTTTCTGTATTTGAGCTGGTGCAGGGGTCAGGAAAACAGCCAAACCAGAACCAGCACAATTGATCCATGCAGACAAAATCAACTGATTTTAGTTTCATGGCTAGATAACAACACAAACCCAAACCCACAGACTACACATATAACAGTGAGACTGGAATAAACTCTAAGGATACTGTTTTTCTTGAAGTCTCTGCAGCCTCTTATGCGTATAGTCAGGACCCCAGTCTGTGCAATGAAAAAAACATAAAGACATCCATTCGCATCATTCCCTAATATATTCATGATTAAGATGACTTTATACTTGATAGCATGCCACAATGTGGACAGCGAGAGAGCCAAGGTGTAAAATGCTGAAATTAAGAGATATTTTAAAACATTTGCATCTATTTGTTAGGCTTATAAAATTAAAAAGACAAACCGGAGCTCCGAGTGCCACCAATGGACGACGTGGGGACTTGTCCTTAGGCTCTTCTTCCTTATCTTGAACAGCCTGAACTGAGAATTTTTTTCGGAACTGCAGAGCAGAATTAAAAAAGGTAAGAAAACAAAAATAAAGTTTCAGTAAATAAAATGCTCAATTCATTTTTAACCTGTTAAAAAACAACAAATATTAATGGTGAAATCATTTAGTAAACTCTGTAAATGAAATACTGTTAATTGTTTTATAAAAGGAGCAGCTTTCAATGAAAAATATCATGTAAACGCATCTTTCTGCGCAGTGTGGGAGGAAGTAATTACCTCCATGATGGACTGAACTCCAGAGTGAATACTGGACAGAACACTGGACAGCACTCTCTGCACCACATACTTCCTAGATGTGCTGGGTGCTGCGGGCTCCATCTGAGAGATTAAAACATGGTTTTGTTTACTAAAATGTACATATTATGTAATCTAACCACGTTACCCACAGAGTTCTTCAACTGACTTTGTCTTGGTTTCAATATACTGGCTAAAAATGTTGACAAGATAGCACTTAGCAGACCCATAAAAAGTATTTATTGAAAACTGGATAGTAGTTACTGAATAATAAGCACAAGGTTCAAATGGATTAACCCCTTAAATGGCCACGGTCCAAAGTTTTATTACACACTTCTACATCCTAAGAATAGCTCAGCCAGTTTGCATTGAAGCCCAGAAATTACTGAATAATAGGCCTTAGCATGTAATAAGCCTGGGATTTTAAGGGGTTAAGTAAGTTGAAGACACTGGGCCTCATTCACCACTATCTTCCTAAGTTTATTTCTTTCAGTTTTTCTTGAGAAAGGTCCTAAGAAAATATCTATGTCAGATTCATGATGTGTTCTTAAGGACTGTTCGCACCTTTGTGCTCTTGAGTGGGCATAGATTCTGTTCTTACCTAAGAAAAAAACCCCAAATGAGAACAGATTGGTGAACGTCAGACTCTACGTGAATACTGTGTAGGTGAGTTTTAGAAAGACATTTCATTTTAAGAACGGTTGGTGAAGCAGGCTCGCTGTTTTTAACCCCGACCACCCCTGTATTCTTTTTCTACAGGCCCATTTAGAAGGTGGACTTGGGTCTCACCTGAAGGTTCTCCATCTCGATCGTAACTTCTTTTCCGTTTTCTACTGCCTCCTGACTCTCTCTCCTCTCTTTCAGCTGTTCCTCCTCTCTCTGCTTCTCCATTTCCTCAAGCAGCTCTTCCTCACTCTTCCTCTCCTTTATCACTTCCTGCTTCTCACTGACTGTAGCCATCTTCCTATCATCACGCTTTTCTTTCTTTTCTTCCATTTCTCTGTCTGCCTTCACTACGGTAATGACAATTTCTTTACAGATGACCTCCCTTTGTCCCGTCCTCTCTTCCTCCCTCTGTTTTTCTTCCTGAACGATTCTCTCCTTCATTGCTTCCATCTCTCTCTTCCATTCCTTCTTTGTCTGTCTGGTTTTTGAAGTCTCCATCTCTACTCCTGCTATTTTCTTCTTCAGGGTCTTCAGCTCTCTTTTCAGCTCTTTCTTTCTCTCTCTGAATCCCTGAATCTCCTCCTCAAGCAGTCTCACTGCCTCTTCCAGATCCCTGATCTCCTTATCGTTCTCCTGCTCCATATTCTGAAATTATTTTGAGAAATTTTAGGAAATAAGGTCACAGACTACACATTTCATTAAATCGCAGTATGCAATGAAGAAATTCTCACTTTATAGTTAGTGTGAGTTCCACTGCTAAGACAATGTTAAATTCTGTTAGCGCTTCAGTGTTATGTTAGCGCCAAACTAGTGGTGGTTTACAATCAAATAGCCTATTATCCTATTCGATTTCTGCTGATCTGTTCAGCCTAGACCTAAATAAACATTTTTTTATATACACGCAATTAATAACAGCAAAAACATACTATGACTTCATATACTTCAAATCTGTAACTAACAGTTACAAACGTACGTGCATTAGTGTGATCCTGCTGCTGTGAACTTTTTCAGTGAGACTTAAAACAGCGCTTCGAATGCTAATATCACCCCCTTGTGGAGAATCTGCTAAACACGGCTTTATAATGACCTGCGAATACACAGTTTATCGTTTAATGATGAATTAATCACGAGGCTGAATTACCTTCCTCTGCCTCTCCTTCTTTCTCTTCTGGGTTGTTTCTTTCTTAGTCAGCTCCGTTTCTCTCCTCTCTGCCTGAAGCTGCTTGAGCTGCTCCTCCTCTTTCTGCCTCTCCTGCTTCCTTCCCCTTTTGCGAAACAGGGACATTTTAGGGATGCAGGTGCACCCAGGGGCTGGGGGGCTGGGTGGGGGGCTCAGCTCTCGCTCCTGCTTCATCTCCTGTGGAGCTGTTGACTTTACAAAACAAAATGGCTGGATTCAGTCAGGTGTGCTCCTTCAGAGTCTGATAAATAACTGCTGTGGATTATTAATGTTGTACCTGCTTTGTATTTTGGTGCTTTCTGCTTCTCTTCATGACTTTTCACTCTTCTTCTCTTTTCTCATATAATCACTGAAAACTGATATGGAGAATCATAAATAAGTAAAACTCTTCAGTGTCATACATAAACATTTACAGTTGTTTTTGTCTAAAAATGCAACAACTGCTTCATTATCAGACAGTTGAATAAGAAATAATTTACTCTCCCAGTGAGGCATAAGGCCAATTTCACACATATCTACATACATCATCTGAAACAGCTTGGAGAAAAGAAATTACAACAAGTGTTAATGAAACTCATCAATATTTTCAGATTATTAACTTTGCTTAATGTATATTTATTCTTTTCTTCCTCCTCAGTTGTATTTCAAAAGTCGCTCACAATTGATATCTCATTGGTTTGCAACAACACATGACAATTTTGTAAAAATAATTAACTATTAGGAGATGGGGTCAATAATTTTAAGAATATATGTTATTATTTTGAGACATTATGTTAATTTCTCGAAAAAATAAGTGACTCTCATTTTAAAATACATTAAAATTTTGACATACTGCAGTTAGTAAAACCTCTTCACAAATCTGCAGTTTCAGCATTGCAGTCCTTTAGATACAAAATTAACTCTGTAATTATCGTCTATCGACTTTTAATCCCATGTAAAACAAACATTACTCTTTTAAAATCCGATTGGCTTTGTTCACAAACAGTTAGTGAACTACGGACTTTTTGTGTGAATAAAGCTGCATAAAAAGACTCAGACTGACCTGTTTGTGCTGTTATTGTTGTAACGACGCGCTTCTGAAAAGAAAAACCTGGAATTGTCAGCTGGTAGTTCCGAGTATGACTTCACAATGGACCGGTTCTGTGAGGTCATCTCTCAGTGACGTGACTTTTACGCCACTGCTTCTCAGTGTTGGCAGGGTTCCAAACTGGGCGGGATTTGCTTTTATTGGGAAAAAAAGTGCTTTCAGACAACAATGTTTTCAGGATATTGTGGGGTTTTATACGATACTGTAAAACGTAAAACTGTAAACTGCGAGCTCCCCTCATCCAATCAGTTATCAAAAGATTGGCTGAGCTTTTTTCACTCCTGTCGAGAGGAGGCCGCCGACACGACCCTCGGGGTCGTTCACGGTTTCAAAGGACATGGCGGAGATTATCCGCTTCACTTGGCATTAATAACTGCACATATTTCTGATACAGTGTAAAGTTGGAATGGGGTGTGATCTGATCTGATTCCTTCATTTCTATCAAAATCACTGTTAGTTATTTGCATGGGATCACCCTGTCATATTCAGTACATTCAAACTAAACAACGTTAATAGACTGAAAACATTAATGGGTTTTATTTTACTGAAATGAGTTTCTTTGTCCAGGCGTTTTTCTGGTCGTGTTTGAGACACAAAAGCGTTTGGTTCTTTGTACCAGTAGCAATAAACACAAAAGAGTGACAGCGCCATCAACGAAATACTAATCTATCAAAAACATCCCTTATTGGCCTATCATCATCATCACTGCATTCATGGTTGTTTGCATTTATTTTAAATCTGAATTTTTTTCAAGCATATTTCTTCTTAAGTCCTTTTGTCTCTAAATTCCATTGATGAATACCTTTATTCATCAAAGGAATTTAGAGACAATTTAGGACGTTTGCTTTGTCAGCCCGTTAGGGTTTTTTTTTTAGTAAAAAATGCAAATTTGTATGAACTCTGACATTTCTTAAATGCGTGTTTGTTTTCACTTTTACAGTGACATCCTTTCTATATCCTATGTTTAAAACATGTCTGCAGAAAACGATAGCGCACAGCCAATGAACTGAAAATTGGTCTGAGAAATTCTAGTCAAATTACTGATTAAAATTACAAAAGAACATGATTTTTCCGTTGCAGACGTGCTAGAGAACTGCTCACACCAGCACTGTCCACCTCAGACATTTAGCTCATACCGGCCACAAGAGGACAGCACAGTTCAGCATAACACAACCCAGTCTCACAGAAAAACGTTCATATACAACTTAATTGCACCAGCTGACATACGCTGTGAACAACTTTCTGTTATAGGAATACAATACATGCCAACGTATCAGACCACGCTGCTCTCTTAGCCACGATCTGCAGCAATGTTTTACTTGAACACACAGCGTTCACGTCCGGGGTCATTAGCGCTCCCATGGTCTCCGGAGTATTATCCTCCTACTTGAGGATAATCGTTCAGTATACTTTCCATCACTGATCTAAAGAAATGAAAACTGGAGGAAGACAGGAGAAATGGAAAGAACAGAGTTGGAGTCAAAGGGAAAAGTTGGTTTCGTTCCAAAATGCATTATAGACCACGTTTAGGAAATGATATACATTTTTGGGAGTGGGCTTTACATGTACGAGAAATATCAATGCTATATTATGATTAATATCACCTTTATCAGAAAAATAAAAATGTGTTCCATTATTCATCAACTGTTAGTCTATTCTAAAACTTTTTATATCTATAACTCTTACTAAAGAATATACAGCATTTTGGAATGAAACTCTTCATATGTGATGGTCAAAGAGAGGAAAACACCACAGTATTAAAGATCCAGAAATCATTTCTTTAAATGGTTTAATAAATTAATTATTTTTATGTTCTCAGCGTTCCCTGAACAGCCCACTTACCCTTCAGACTGCAACAGATACAGAGTTAAAGGAAGGAATGCATGTTATAGAAGGAAAGAGGGCTGCAGTCTACACTGAGTGAACAGAGCATTCAGGCCACCTGCTTAATAGCTGAACATAACAGTAAAACAAGCTGCATGTGATCAAATTTGAGTGATAATAATGCACTTGTTCAATAACCACAGATCAGACCTGTTCAGTCATTAGAAATAGGTCAAAAAGGTGAATCAGATCAACAGAGACTGACAAACAGTACAAGACAATCACATAATTAAAAACAGACATACTGCTTAGATACTGTGCACACGCCTATTAGATGCACCTCAGAAGCTGGTGTTATGATTGCTTTGTACACTCAGTGTATATAGAATGAGGAAAATGAAAAGGAAAGTAGGAAAAGTTAGAGGAGATAAAACTGGGAAAAGTATGGAAAAAATAAACTGGAAGAGAAGCAGAAGAAAGTGCAGAAGAAAGAGCAGAATAAAGTAAACTAAATAAACACAATCAGAAACAGGTTGTGGTGCTGCAACGTTAAAATAACTGTTTAAGATTTTAGTGGGATTTCAGTTGGTCAGCTGGTACTGTTGGATCTTTCTATTTTTAAGACAATATTAAATGTCTAAATAAATAACTAACTAAATAAATAAAATAAATAATCCATATAAATACTGAAGAATCCAGCAGGACCAAAAGTAACAAGGAATTACTAAAGAGGAAGAATAGAAATAAGGGGAGGAAACATATTGTCACTGTTGCAAAAAAATCTTGTATCTCAATTTTTTATCGATTTTCATTTTTTGCCCTTTGCCTTGTGTCAAAATTTCACGATGAATGGGCCAAAAGAAATGGTCCAAAATTCATTAGAAAAAAATCATGTTACATTAATTTCCATTACAAATTAAGAATGTTTATTCCATTTTCTGTAAAGTTACTGTTTTGGAGACACGAATTTTCCGGACAGTGACCCTATGAGTACAGATAAAGAAAAAAGAGAGAGAATAAGAGAAAATGAGGGGTGTTGAATGGTGGTCCAGGAAGCTACTTCCGGAACCAGTTTCAGAGGGGAGCGAAGCAGCCACAGCTCCTAAAAAGGACAAATGAGAAAACTGTGTTAAAGGGGAACTTTTTTACAGTATTCTACATAATAAATGGTAACCAAAGCCATTCAGAGTGGTTTGATGTGATTTGTTCTGTTTTAGACATACTTGCCAACTCACAGTTGTTCACAGTGGTGGTGATAGGAACCAGACGTCTGAAGAGTTTAATGTCTCTGAAAGCTCCCTCACAGAAAATTATTAAGCAAAACGGTTAGATATGTGCTGCCTGATGTCTGACACACTGTTTTATAAGAGTTTTGTGACAAAAGTTTCATAAATGTGATATAGCTTTCATTAATGACGGAGGGGTACGGACAGGGCTTTGTGAGGCAAAATAGTCTGCAAAGAGTTGCCCACTATTTTACCATCACTAGAATTACATATAAAACGCAGAAGGCACCTGTAGGTTCTTTGCTGGTACTGGATAGTAAATACAATGAATGCGGGGGCCCGGGTGGCGAAGGTCGGGGCTTGCTCGTGCCTCTTGTGGCCGGCACCGTCGTCCTCGTCGTCCACCTCTTCCCTCGGCGGAGCTCGGGCTTTGCGCTCCGCCCCCTCCACACTCACGGCTCTCTCCCTGCGGTCTTCGCTGCGGTTCGTCGCCGCTGGGTGTTCGGGCCTCGCCTTCCTGCCGGCTCTCGCGGCCGTCATCGTCGGGGCCCGCGGGCACATGCCACAGTGTTGTAGGTTCCTATCACCACTAATGTAAAGAAATCAGAATGTGTAAGTTTCTCAATTAACCAAATCACACCAAATCAGTCCGAATGATTCTGTTTACATCTCTGGGACTGAATTATTTGAAAGTTATGAAACATTGGTGAAAATACCTTTTAATATAACATTGATTATTGCAATTCTTATTGGTATTTCTCATCTCTTACTAATATATATCTTTTAAAATATTTTCAATGTGAGAGTTACTGTCACCCTTACTTGCATTTCTTCTTTTTCTTCTTGCTGGCAGCTTCCTTCAAGGTCTGTTCTGTGAGAAGAGTGAAGATTTAGAAGTGAAGACTCAATGCTGTAATATCAATGTTATAACATATCCTATATGAATTTACATACATGAATTCCTAGCTCTCTGTTTCAGTACCTTGCATTGTCTCCTCGTCAGGCATGGCTGCCTCCTCTATGGCTCCAGCGGAGGTCTCTGGTTCCTCCTCCTGGTGCTGCTCCTCCAGGATGATGACCTCCCCGAGTGAGATGGTCTCCACTGCCTCCTCCTCTTCACTCTTCACCTCAGGCTGCAGGTTCTGGTGCAGCTCCTCCACTGTGGCCTGTAGACGCTGAGACACAACACAGAGAGAAAACTGATTTGTGGAACAGTTTAGAGACCTACTTTAAATTCCTTATTCTTTCACATATTTAGAATACCATGACTTCATCAGAAGCTTCATCCTTGACAGACTGGAGCTCCTCGAC